TACCAGTGAGCCATGTCTCAAGCCCTTTCTAAATACTTTATCTGTCTAGATGTAGGGGCTCACTAAGTTGCTGAGGCTGGTTTTGAACTCCTGATCCTCCTGCCTCAGCCTTCCCAGCTGTGGAATTATTGGCGTGGGCCACCAGGGCTGGTACATCAGAAAGAGTAGATTGTACTTGAATTCCAACCTAAATTTCAAAAAGGTAATGAATTCAGAAAGCAAATCCTTTTCTAATGCCTACATGTTACCATGATCTGGAGATGATCCAGCTCTGGATGTGTCCAGGAGATGGCTGCCATAGTGACTGCCAGTCATGTGGCACAGTGTTTTCACCATGGAAATTGGGACATGCTGCAGATCAACTTACCACTTTGTTCATAGTCTAGACTTAAGAAAATGATGAGGAAAAAGTTAACAATGCCAGTTAAAAGTAAGTTGTTTGTAGCAGTGATATTGTCAATAGCACAAAAAATGGAGAGAGTCATTTTACAGTAATTCACAACTGCTGATTCCACAAAGTTACTCATTTTCTAACAAGTACAATTCCACCATAAGGGTTTGTTGTTTCATCTTGCTCCTTAAGGTAAACAAAAATATAGGTCAAGCAACATTCATGTCAGAACTAGACTCATTTGTCAGTGGCAGCCATAGGATGGCTATGGAAACGAGTGCTGCAAAAATCAGTGAAAGCCTTTATAAGAATCAGTCAGCTAGGCGAAGTTCAAAGTAGAGTGTTGTGTATTTTAATATTATTTGTAAATTGTGTGCTTTACTCCTTTATAGCAATATAATGCATAATAAAGGAATGTATGTGTGCATATGCACACACACGTGTGTACACACACACACACATACCCTTACCCTTTCCTGCCCCAGAGAGCCGTCTGTTAAACATTTGCTAGCACACCACTGCCTGGGACCATCAGCCTGGAGGCTGATGTGGTTGGACACAGAGAAGAGGAGGACCCAAATCCAAGGTCCAAGCCCTGGAACTGGTCCACACCAGAGACCTCAAGGAGAACAAGCTGGGTAGGAGCAGAAGCGAGGGGGAAGTGGTCACTGTCATCTCATGTAAGGGACCTCTGAGGCTACAGTACGGGTGGTCAGAACCTGGGGCATTAGGGTCTTGAATCTGGTGGTGGCCTGGGCCACTTGCCACTAGGCAACTTGGGTGAGCCCCTTCACCTTTCTCCATCCCTTCTTCAGCTAGGAGGTTGGAGGAGTGGTGCTAGCACTGGCACGTCACCAGTTTTGGAGATGAAATGAGGTGATATGGTAAAGCCAGACACTGGCCCTGGGGTACCAGCACGTGGCAGCTCCTCTCCTGTGAGGAGGTAGCCCTGGCCTGGGTAGAGATTGGAGCAGGCTGGAGGCTGTGGGCACAAGGGCTGCAGAGGTGAGGGGGCCTTTGAAGTATCTGCCTGGGGCCACAGGAGCCACCCCAGGGCGGGTGGTTAGTAGTGGGAAGGGGGAGCCCGCCTGAGGAAGGCACAGGCACTGCCAGCGAGGGGGATGCTGAGGGTTCTGCATGAGGTCAGTGTGTGCAGGTGGTGGGGAAGCAAGTTGGAGGGGCCACAAGAGCTGTGTGACAGGCACCGTGGGGTAGAGGGAGCTGGGACTTGGCTTCTGTCCCCAGGCCTCACTCTGGGTGTGTCATTGAAACTGCTGATAGCAACAGCATGTAGGTCCTGGCCCAGAGCAAGTGTCTGAATGCAGAGGCCAGGCAGTCCCCTTAGTGAACAGCGAAGGGGTGGGAACCAGCACTTCTCCAGAGCAGGGTGGGACACAGTGTCTCCTCACATTCTGCCAAGGCTGCGCTGCTCGGGTCAGGGATGACAGTAGGGTTTCAGGATTAGGCTCAGTTTAGGCTCTCTAGGTCTCTGGAGGTGCATCCTGGGTTGCCAGTTTTGGCGCTCTAGCATCTTTGATAGAGTGGTTTAAATCAATAAATGTTAACATAACTCTATGATTTTTTGTCCTTTTCTGGACACAGGAGAAGAACAGAGCCAGTGCTGAGTTCCTGAACAGAGGGACTCCTGCTTCCAAGAAGGCAGGTGCTGTGATGGTCCCTGGAGGTGCTGCTGGGGCAGGGGAGGGAACAGGCCAAGGGGACAAGGGACAGTGGGGCTGCTGTTTCTCATTGTGCTATAAAGGATGACTAAGTGATCCATAAGTTAATATTAAAATATTATCGTAATATTATAATATCAGCACATCAAACAATAGATACTGCTTAAAAAGAAGCTTAAATTTTAAAAATTTGACTTCTTAAGCTGGGCTGTACACCAATAGTTCCAGCAGCTTGGGAAAATGAGGTAGAAAGGTCAGTTGAGTTCCAAGGCCAGCCTGGGCAAAATATTGAGACCCCTGTCTCAAACAAAACAAACTTGTAAATAATGGCATCAAGGTCAAGAGAGACTATAGGGATGGTGAGGCCTGGGGAATGCCTGTGACACATATGGGTTGGAAGAATGCGGCTCCGTAACGGGCTCCCTGTGAAAGCCGGGGCCCTCTGGGAAATGCTTCTAGAGGGCAGTGTGAGTGCAAATGGCAGGGCCCCAGGGCTGGACACAAAAAAGAGTGGTCAGATGGTTAAGGGGGCAGCCAGACAGGCCTTTGACAGGGGTTTGAGGCAGTCAAATAAGTGCAGCTGTTCAGGAGCCTCTGCAATGACCCCAGTAAGGGGTTCAGGCCAGTGGCTGGGCTGAGAGCTGGGCGTTGATGCAATGGGGCCTGGGGTCTTGCTGGGGTGGGGTGGTGGACATCAGATGAAACAGATGGAGACAGACTGGATCTGGTGCTGAGGTGTGGGAGACAGTTTTGGAGTGTGACAAACTAAAGAACAAAAGCCAATGAGAGGGCTGGGGTTGTGGCTCAGTGGTAGAGCACTGTCCTAGCATGTGAGAGGTACAATTCTCAGCACCACATATAAATAAGCAAAATAAAGGTCCACTGACAAATAAAATTAAAAAAAAAACAAAAACAAATAATGAGAAGAACATCCCCGAGTGTCAGCAGAGGCCAGGTAAAGGGAGGCTGCTGGTTAAGTAGCCACAGAATGCGGAGCAACTATATCCCTAGTGCTTTCCATGTGTGGGAAGTATGCTGGACCTTGGTGATTCTGTGGTGAACAAAATAAAGATTTGCTGCTCACAGAGAGTACACAACAGAAACAAATGGATACGTAGAGTTCAAAGCCATGAAGAGAGGACACCATAAGGATGGCAGTCCTTCTAATAAGGTGACTTTTGATGAGACAGTTGAAGGAAATGCTAGAGAATTCACAGGGCTCCCTTGGGAAGTATTTTCTGGGCTGGGGACCTCATGTACACAGGCTGAGGCAGGAAACACTTGGCATGTTGAAAGAATGTCAGTGAGACCAGGAACAGAAAGAGAATGATGAAGAATGGTTAGCGAGAAAGGCCAGAGGGTGCAGAGCCATAGCCATTACTGAAGACCTTGACTTTTACTGAGGGCCCGAAAATCAATGCAAAGTTTGGGCTCAGGGGGAGACGTGAACTGGCTTCTGGGTCAGGGAGGCTGCTGCTGGCTGGCAGCCCACCTCCTGGTCGCACCAGCATAGGTCTGTGACCAACAATGTAGCAGCAGTGATGGGGAATCACTTTCCAGACCGGGTTTTAAAAGAACACTGTGGCTTCCATCTGGCTGCTGCTGCTCTCAGATCCTTCACTTCAGGGGAAGCCAGCTGCCATGTTGTGAGCTGTTCTTTGGAAGGTCCCACAAGGCAAGGATCTGAGGCCTCTGCCAACAGCAGCATCAACTAGCTTGGAAGTAGATACCCCACCCCCCCCACAGTCAAGCTGACACCATAGCCTTAACTGATGTCATGGTCATGAGACCCTGAACCTTGACCACCCAGCCAAGTTGCTCCCGGGTTCTTGACCTTCAGAAACTGTGTTTTAGCTGCTGAGTTTTGCAAATCTGTTTAAACAGCAATAACTGATAACATGACCCGGAATGTAAACAGAGGTGGTATAGGAAAAGTAGGAAGATCTTATATTTTAAAAAGAGATTGTTTTGCTTTTTTGATATTTGGCCAGAGAAATGAGGTGACTAGTAGTGCCAGCTAGTGAGGTGGGGAAAATAGCAAGAAGGGCTTTGGGCATGAGTGGTAGAGGGCAGTGATGGCAGTGTGGTCCAGACTGGTCAAGCTTGAGATGTTATTAGGCATCCAAGTGACAGTTTAAAAGATAGGAATAGAGGCTGAATTAGAAGTGTGAGCATAGACAGAGAAAGGAAGAGGCCCAGGTACAGACACGTCCTTCAACACAGAAAAGCTGTTGGTGAAGACAGAAAACCCAGGGGAGGCATCTGGAAATGGAAGTGCTTTGCGCAAGGACTGGTCCCCCTGACCATTCCTTGGGTGTGGTCAGTGGGATCGTGGAAGAAAAAGCCAGTGTTGCAGTGTGGAAGGCAAGAGGGATGAAGCTAGAGCAGGCAAGATGACAGCTGACTGAAGTGACAGAACTTACATAAAGGTGACAATGACAATAGCCATTTCTTTAAGGAGTTTTGACTAAGAAGGGGATGGTTGTTGGGAAGAGACAGGGAGCTAAGGTGAGTTTTTAGTTCTAAGGCACTTATTTTCATGGCATGGTTGAATGTTAAGAAAAAAATGTAGAAGAGAAAGGAAGAATCAATTGTGCCTCCAAGGTCTTGATGTGAACCTTGAAGAATGTTCATGAGAGTTCCCAAGATGGAGGTACAGGTTGGGATATTCAATGGGACAAGGGTGTGGCCTGTCATGAGCCTATGAGGCAATATGGCCCTCCCTAAAACTATGGGCATAGTGTCCCTCACTGAGCAACTGTCCTGGGAGAAGATGGGGAGGGCGCAGATGCTATGACAAGTCCAAGAGTATTGTGGTTCTGGTGACTGATATAGGGTTTCTCACACCCTAGGCAAGTGCTGCACCACTGAGCTGCAACCCAGTCCCCAAGACGCTTCCTGAAAGCAGATACAGTGACTTCAGCCTCTTATATTTGGTTTCATAGTGGACTTTATTGGGAAAAGCTAGTGTAAAAAACATTCAAATTAATAAAATTTAAATAAGACAGTAAAAGTATACCTTGTAGCTATAGTAATCAATGTAGTAATCACAAATAAGGTAAAATCTAAATTATGGCCTAAGCAAACATATTCATTCTGTCAGGCTTCTATTGCAAGCCTAAGGCAGGAAACACTGCAATTATTAGAAGTGAGCCCAATGATGACTTTGCCTATGCAGTTGGGGAGAAAAAAGCATGTTCAAATTACGGCATCCCAACATCCCAGCCTGAAAAAAGCAACATTATTATTAATGTTCTGCAGCAGAGTGCATTAGTAATTGTAGCCATGCATTATAATTCTTATTTCATAAAAAATAATCGAGTTTTTTGGTGTGTTTTGTTTTTCATGATATGTTTTTATCCCTTGCAAGACCTTTCTGGGACATTCCTCCTCCACAGTTGAGTCCACTCTCTTTGCTGAGAGAATGGGTATTCCAATCTGAATGTTACTAACAAGTTAATGTGGGATTTGCTTTGGTTATGGAATTTTTATTTAAGCTTATAAAAATACAGCTAGAAATATGCTCCTGAATCTAAAAGCATTTTTTGACCAATTTAAACATATCCTGGCAAAATTCACCACCTGGCTGGTTTCAAAATCTTCCTATGTAAGTGTTCTCTACTTAGCAAGTATACTTGAGTGAAGAACAGTGATTGATCTTTAAGAGCCCCTGCGGGTGGGGGCAGGTGGTTAAGGCAGAATTAGATGCTGTCCATGGCTTTGAACTCACTGAGGGCCTGCACAGGGTTCACATGCTTCTTCTGAGATGCCCGCTTAATCTTGGTCTGTGTCTCATCCTGCTTCTCTCTCTTCACCAAGGGCTTCTTCTCAGGTGCCTTCATCTTCCAGGACACAGCAGGAAGGTTGAGGGAAGCCATGCCCTGGGACTTTTGGTATTTGGTAGAGGCTACATAGGATGCCTTCACTGTCTGCACCACAGCATTCATCAAGTTCTTGGCTGCCTGGATCAGGGACATGGCACTGTCCACCTACAAGGCACAAATGGGACAGTAAGGAGTCATATCTGATGGGAATGACCCTCTAGCACCACAATCTGGGCAGGTCCCCAGAGTACAGAATACTGGCCAGCAACCTTGTTTCTGATTGGATACAAAAAGCCTTAAAATACCCATGTTTCAGATCCTCTGACAAAGGAAAGGGCGTGCAAGAAAGTATACAGGTCATCATCATTTTGCCTTCTTCCACCCCTCAAACATTCGTTCACAAAACAAACACTGGAGGTGGACTGGCATCTATCTTTTTGACACTGAGTGACTGAAGAACTAGAAGCACTGAGGAGGAATCCAGTCAGGCCCCTATCTGACCAATATACCTATTCCCCCTCTGCTTTCATTCATGACACAGGCATCTCCTCCCTTATTTTAGAGGATCTGGAAGATTGCTCCATAGAAGACAGATGAGTAAAGGGTGTCAAATGTTCAATTTTTTTTTGGCAGTATTTGGCCTTGTGTATGTTACCCAAGCACTCTGTCACCTTTTTAGAGACAGGGTCTTGCTAAGGCTGGCCTCAAACTTTTGATCCTCTTGCCTCAGCCTCCCAAGCAGCTGGGATTATAGTTGTGTCTCATTGTGCCTGGCTGAAATATTCCTTTTAAAGGAAATTCCGTGGGATTAACAGAAGTTGTGGGGACTCAGCAAAACAAGGTGAGGAGGACCCAAAATTGAGACCCGATTAACAGGAAAAAGAATAGCTACAATTCTGCACTATTGGGTAGAAGAAAGCAGACTATCTACTTTGCAATTTCTGAAGAGGCTTAATTCTTCTCTGGGAAAGATAAAAATATTTTTTCCCAATGAGTGGCCAGCTCTGATAGTGGCTGTAGCTATCACTAATCATGCCATGCTAAACAGAGCTGCAATTCTGCAGGGAGATGTGCAGCTTGTGGCCTCCGGGGACCAAGAAAGAACTTGGGAGTTTCTGCCTAGCACATGTTCCCCAAGTGAGGAGTGTATATAGATAAGACTAGAGGCTGCTTTCATTTTAGACATAGTGGTAAGAAAAGGTGATGAGCAGGAATGCACTAACACTTACCCCAGAGACAACAAGCTCTCCACCAAGGTTCTGGACCTCAGCCTTGACTTTGCTGCAAATGTTGAGCTGGTGGCAGTAGAGGGCAATGCGTTGCAGGTAGGCCAGCAGGTCCTGCTTGCAGGCTGAGTCTGGACACTGAGGGGAGAACAAACTCAGCAGGCTCAATAACACTGCAGGCCCAGTGACAGCACCCCACCCTAGGCCCAGTTCTGAAAGTTTCCTCTCCTCTTGCTGGAGCAAAGGGCAAGAGAGATAAATTACCCAGTTATTTGGGGTGTTCACATCACTTGGCTCAGGGAAGGAGGCAAGTCCCCTCGGGGAGCCCTAAATGTGCTGCATAGCATGGGACATAAAGACTTCCTGAGCCCTCCTTTCACTAACTCCACAACTTGGGAGAAACCACTACTGCCAAGGATTCAATTTTTTAGTAGGGAGGAAGCATATGGCCCTAAAAAGTCTCAGCAAGAGCCTGATTACGTAGAAAAGAATGTGTTAAGCTACGGACACTACCCAGTCAAACAAATAGCTCTTCTGCCGTGAAGCATTTTACTTGCCCAGTTTTGGGTGCAAATATTAAACAGCCAATGACAGGAGACATTCACTTGAGGCAAAGATGGAGGATGTAGAAGTAAACCAAAGCAAGAAACCTTGACCAAATACAGGGAAACAGTGGCCCTGCCCAGCTCCTGATACTGTTGAATCTCAGGTTGCTTTACCTAAAGGAGGAATCCTCATACCTCTCAAATGTTTGAAACACTTTCTTCCGATGAGACTGGGGCCTCACTGTGAACAACAGAGTTGTATAAAATGAAGCTTGTAGTTCATTCTGGAGACTGAATTTTTTTCTAAGAAGGCCCTGTGTTTTATGATGGCAGTGTTGGTAGCTGCATGCAGAATAGGGTGAAGACAGGAAAGAGGAAGGGAGAGGCCATGGTGGTCAAGATAGGTGGAATGGAGCTCTGGATAGAGCTGTTAATTTCAGACAGGAAAAACTTTGATGGTGTCAAGATACATATATGGTCACTAGAAGCAACAAGGCTTCTTACTGGGTGGTGTGAAGGATGATTTCAGAATATTTGCTTTGAGTAATAAGGGGCAGCTGTCACTCATCTGGCAGTAGATGAGGCTGAAAGTTTGAATAATTCAGAAAAAAGAATGTGGAGGGAAAAATTAGCTTCTCTGATAAGTCTTAGAGCACCACACTATCCAGGAGATAGAAGCATAGTTTTCTGACCTATTACTATGAGGGAATAAAGGGATGAAACTGCTGGTTGAGAACAGGCAATACAAAGAACATGGAAGTCTGTCCCCAGCTAGGCACAGCAGCATTTCAAAATGCTGCTGGCCAATGGGGTGGGTTTTATTGTTTTGTTTGGGGGTGGGGGGTCCCCATGCTGGGGATTCTTTCACACAGCTAGGCAAGCACTCTACCACTGACACTTTTAAAGGTCTCCCTAAGTTGGCCTAGGCTGGCCTTGAGTTTGTGATTCTCCTGCCTTAGTCTCCTGAGTAGCTAGATTACAGATGTGCACTACCCCACCCCACTAGGGCTCCTGATTTTTATATGAAATAAACCGTGAGAGAGATACACGTGTTTCTAGTGTGTTAGGGTTGGCAGAATCAGTTTCTGCTCAGACCTGAAGTTCTTAAGAACTGAGAAATAAATAAATCAACAGCAAGTGTTCATTGTATATTAACTGAGATGAGTTCTAATGGGAACCAGACCTAGCTCCTCAGATTTGTCAAAGACAATACAGAAATCCTTAGAAATTTATGGTGGGATTAAAATAGGTCAGAATAATTTTTGGATAATATAAGAGTGCTATGATCATTAATGGCCACCTCAGCAATAGGTCAATCTGAACTGTCTGAGCCTAGGATAAGCTCAGAGATAAGTTCAGGAAAGTTCGTCACTTACGTGATCTGCGATGGTTCGGCCAAGTTTATCCATCCTGGATCCTGCCTCAGCAATTTTCTTGGCAGCACTAATCACATCTGATGTATTTTTGAGTGGTCCTTTACCTCTGAAAAACGAGAATAAGGATCCCTGTCCATGACACCCCCGCAGGTTCAGAGATGAACAGAACAGAAGATGTCTTACAAAGCAACCTGGCCTGTGGGGAAGAAAACTGTCCTGTCTCCTATCAGCCCGCCAGGGTGGGGTGCTGCTCACCGGGTAAAGTCAGTCATCTCCATCATAATCATACACATCTGCTTGGCCAGCACGATGATGTCGTTGCCACTGTCATCCCATTTAGACACTTCTGCATCCAGCTTGCTTTTTTCTTCCTGGAAACTGGCCACCTGTTCCGCAATCTTTGCTTTTTGCTCCTGGGGAAGCTGAGCCATGATTGCCTACAATCAGAAGTACAGAAAGCTCTTATGTAAAGAGTGTGAAGTTCTCACAGTGCATTAGCCAAGAATATCTCCAACAGGCAGTGTATGACATAGGTTGGATAATGCTTTAATAGGGTTCATTTTTCCTGAAGGGCTATTTCTTCTCATTTTTTACTGACATTTATGGCAGCCTAAATTCCCAAACCACTTTCAAGAGCAAGATTTAGTGTGCAGGGAAAGAGCATGAGAGGGGTGGAACTAGTGTGGAACTTTCACAGTCACATCTATGTAGGAACAGAAACTGGTTTAAATTTGGTTTAATTCTTTAAAAGTTTTATCTTCTGCCTCCCAGAAAATGAGAGGAGGCAATAAAGAATGTGTAGAGCTCATTCAGAGCCTGCGGGCTCTGAATGGACATGTCCAAGTTTTCAAAGTATATCAGAAGTAGCTTTAGGATGTTAATTTTGAAGAGAAAGGCAGAGAAGAATTTGCTAAGGAACATACATTCTAGTGGAACATACATTAAGCGGCTATCTGACAGCCACTTAAACCATGTTAAAGCAGCACCTGGAGCCCTCAAGGCCACAGGCCCAGGGCCAAGGCTCTGCCTCTTCGTTTCCTGAAGTGTTCGTGCCTGAGCAGGACTTAAAACAGTGACATGGTCACTGCTCAAGATGGATTTCCAAGGAGTTAAAAAAAAAAAAAAATTCTCCATAGAAATATTTCTTGGTGTCCTTCCAAAAACAAATGCTATTGATTGAAGATTTAATGACTTGAATGCAATGACTGACTGGTTTTCTTCTTGAATGTACCACTGTTATTTTTTTTAAACTCATGAATAATTAAAATAGCTCATATCCACGGTATCAGTGAGCTGGGCAAAGGCAGCAATCTTTTTCAAATTTCACAATCCTTTTAACAAATGTTGCATCGACTAGATCCTAAGCCTTTTCTGACCCAGGGATTTATCATAAACCAGAACCCTAGGGCACAGCTGAGGAGGAGGCCCATGTTCCTGCTCTGCTTCCAGTTGAACAGCAGGTGCCACAACTTAGGTTAACTTCAGTCCTACTGTTAGAGAAAAATACTGAGAGTGTTTTCCTGGAAGAGAAAAAGGCAAGGCTTGAGAAGGACAGGAAAGGTCTGCAGAACAAGTTAAAATGCCCCAAGGAGCACTTCCTTACCCGTGCACTTTGGCCAGCTATCAGCTGGTCATCTTCTGTCTGGACGCTCGTCCTGCTTCTGACATCAAAATCTTCTGTCTCAAAGTCAGAGTCATCCAACTCCTCAGGGGTCTGCCACCAAGACAGAGATCGTGAGTCAGACACAACCCTGGGCCTCCAACAACACTGTGTTTCTTGGCCAAAAGCATGAAGGACCCAGAATTCTGGGATTTAAGGTGCAGATTTCCAAACATTAACAGGTAATTAAATCACTCATCATTCTTGTATGGGCCCCACATCAGCACTTCCTAAAAAAGGCTTCTTTTACAGGGGGCAGGGCTTAATTCTTCGTAACACAGATTTATATATAAATATATTTATATATAAATATACAATTTCTTTGTATGATGTATGGCTTGCCTCCCCTCCCTGTTTTTGAGACAGGGTCTCACTATGTTGCTCTGATTGGTCTCAAACTTCTGGGCTCAAGAGATCATTTTGCCTCAACGTCTCAAGCAGCTAGGACTATGAAGTGCACAACTAGCTGGTTTTCATTTGAAACGTTATTTTTCCGACAGCTGCTTCTAAAGACAAAGGTGAGAACTATTGTTGGTGGAAAAGGTCTTAAAAATAGGGGTGTTTTCTACAGTATTAATCAGACTAATAGAACTTTCCTACTTTTTGACAAAAAGAAAATAACATAAAATTAATACTGGACTTTCTCTTAGGGAATGAAAGACTGTTTTAAGGAGTAAAAATAGGCAATGTATTCTAAAGTTTTTAAACTTTTATCAAAGGAAAAGAGGCAAGTAAGGGTTCAGTAAATTCCAAATGGACTCTTATTGGTTTTAGCTCTTTGCTTGAATTATGAAATAAAGTCTTATTTTACACAAACTATCAGCCTCATGATTAGCTACTTGAAACAGAGTGTTGTCTTCCAGGAGTTATCAGAAAGGGGGCAGAGCAAGTGGAACAGCTGGGGTTGGCTCTCAGCCTAGCCAGCTGGCCTGTGACAAGAGGGCAGCAAGGTGAGGCCCTCATCTGCACCTGTCCCTCACCCAAGCCCAGGGCAGGGGCTTGTTGTAAGGTTCAAATGGAGGACATGTGAGAAGTGCTCAGAAACCAACAAGAGCATCAAAGGTTCTGACATGTGCAAAGGCTCCTCCCTAAATAAGACAAAGTAAGAATGGTATACGTCACACAAGGTACCAGAGAGCACATCAACATTGAGACCCTTGGGTCCTGCTGATTTTATGGCACAAAATTTGATGCCACCACTGGTGATTTTAATGCCGTGGTCACAAATATCTTTAGTGTTGTGCACTCAGGGGCTTTTCAAAGTAGGGTCTCCTAACATCATCTCTAACCTCCCCCAACCACCCATCACAGACCAAAGAACTACTCCTGCCAAGAAAACAAGTAACTCCTTTTTTAATATTCAAATATCCATTGAGGTTGAGTATCTAAGTGCGCTATTCTGGGCCTTAGAGATACAAAATGACACAAAGATACCTGTTCTTTACATAATCTAATGAGAACAGTGGCAACAAACTAATAAGTGAATTATATACAAATGTTATAAATAAATAGAGCAGTGAAGGGAAACTGGGTAGTCAGGAAAGGTCTCCTAAGGCAGTGCTGTGGGAAGGTGAAGGGAGATGGAGGAGGAGTGTTTGCCTGGGGAAGCAGATGAATAGCAAGGAGGCCACAAAAGAGGGACTTGGCTCACTGCTCTGAGTAAAGGGGACAGCAACAGGACACGAGGATGGAAAGGCAACAGAATCAGATCCCAGAAGGCTTCACAGGCCAGTGTGAGAATTGAGTGATGGCAGCTTTTGGAAAGTTTGAAGCAGTGGATGACATGATCTAACGAAAGCTTGAAGGCATCACTCTGGCTGCTCTCAGACAATGAGACTGTAGGCATCTCCAGATGGACCAGGTGACAGATGCTAGGGGCTTGTTCAGATTCTCTATCAAGAAGGAAAAGCCAATAAGACCAGATGAGAGGTATGCAACAGAGAGAACTTAAGGAGAATCGAAGGTTTGGCCTGAATGAGGATGATGTTGTGATCAAGGTAAGAAGCTTGGGCATAACAAGTGCTCAGGGAGTGGGCAAGTCAGCTACACAAGCTACACATTGGAGAGTCAGCTTCTCATTGTTGTCCAGGGACTTCCCAACAGCCCCATCAATGTTAGTGAGATAACAAACCAACAAAGAGAAGGAAAAGGGCCAAGAGATTTCTTTCCCCTCTTACTATGGAATAACCAACAGAAAAAGTAGATGAAGTAAGGTAATGAACATGGAATCTCATGCCTGTTGCAGGGATGGCCTCAGCCAGGAGCATAATCAGGGATGTCCGTGGTACCAAAAGGAAGCCATGGGGCACAAGCAGAGGGGAAAGACTTCTAAGTGCCTCATTATCCTGAGTGGAATCAGCAAAAAGGCCACATTAGGAAATGGGGGCTCAGGTGTGGGAGGGCTGAGGCGAGCAAGGAAGTATGAAACAGCTATAGACTCTAGGCTAGAATTGGGAGATGGACAACTGATACTGGGCACCAAGGGCCCACACGTGGTCATGGCTTCAGTGACCCCTGTCAGGGTGGCTGTGTTGATCTGTACCATACCCAGCCAGAGAGTGCAGGACTTCACTAGGACTACGTTTTGCAAAGTATGAATAAGGAAGAGGGGAAATGGATATGACCCAGACTCAAAACTAATAAATGAATGAACCAAGGACCTGAGGGTTGAATGCAAATAACAAGTGGGGAGACCATCCAACTAAAGTACTGGTGAGCTCAAAGGACTGTTCTGAGTCACAGTACTGGAAGGAGTAGGTTGAACACTGAAACTGGGATAATGGAGGGGGTGTAGATACTGGTAGTGACGTGACTAAGGCATGGCTATGGAAGTGAAGTTGAAGTAGGGGAATTATGAGACAGAAATAGGGATGTAGAGCAGAACAGCAAGTGAGAAGCTAAATCACAGTGTCTCCAAATGAAGCCTCTTTCCTCAGCCTTGCATAAGCACTCCTGGCTACCTCACTTTTGTCCTGAAAGGCTTCCCCGTATATTCTATCACTCTTCACATGCCTGTTGTCCAGGGGAAGTTCTGTTAAGACCTTTGTCATTCTTTAGTCCCAGCACAGCTATCAACATAGTAAGAACAGCCATTAGGTGCCAGGACCTTGTGGAACCCATCAATTACACTGTCTCTGTAAAACCATAAAAGCCACCATTACCTCCATTTTTAAGAGAAGAAATCAGCATCAAGAGAGACAAGGGAATTCATTGGATGAAGAACCCAAGCTTCCTGCCTGCTCTTAGAAGTGGTTTCTCACAACCAAGACAGCACTACAGGGCCTGAAGCATCTCTTAGATGAACACAGCTTCAACCCTCTTCAACCCATTCTGGCTCAGCCTCAGATATCCAGCCACACCTCTGCCATTAGGGCTTTTTTTTTAGTTGGAGATGGACACAATGTCTTTATTTGTTTTTCTTTATGTGGTACTGAGGATCGAACCCAGGGCCTCACACGTGCTAGGCAAGCCCTCTACCACTGAGCCACAAACTCTAGCCCTGCCATTAGGGCTTTTAAAATTCTATTTCTAGATGTATGCTAATATGTAAAGAACCTTGGCAAAATGTACATCACCACTGATATACACGACCTTGGAACCCTCACACACTGCTATACCAGGCTTTAGGCTGAATGTGGGTTCCTTAGCACAGCAGCAGGAATAAAGACAGCAAAGCCTCCATCAGCTGGGGCCCCACCAATACATCCAGATGAGCCTGGAGCCTGCATGAGCACCATCAGTGCACCATCTGTACAGCAGGCAGATGCCATATTCCACATGCCTGCTTTGCAGTTACAGCAAGGGCCATCCAGTTGGCCCAGAGAAGAACGTTCATGGACCCTGTCTCCTCAGACTCCAGAGCAACATGCTTATGCTCTCAGCAGCATGCAAGGGATCAATTGCTGTGGGACAGACAGCCAGGACAGCTAGGCCCAGCACCATAGGGGTGTACTAGGGTGGGGTTGGTAGTTTCTAAAACCGGTTGGTGTATGCCCCAGAAGAGGCCAAGGACTTTCTTGCAGACAATGAGAACTGCTGTTTCCTTGGAGAAGACTGGTCAAACAAGGAGGCAGTATACCCTAAGATTCTAGCATCCTGCCTAAAAGTCTAGCATATCCTTTCCAGGAGGGACACTTAATGTAAACAATAACTTTAGCCTATGTTAAGGAAATACTTCCTTCTCTAAAATTAAGAATCTGTATTTCTGTAGTTTCCCCTCCAATTAAAACCAAAGCCACACACTACAGTAACTGCCCTAAATTAAGTCTTTAAGGCCAACTCATGCTAGCTCCCCTTCTCAGCCCAAATTTGGGCTGTTAGTTAACAGTCATTTTATCTACTTATTTGCTTTTTAAATGTTATTTACTTTTTAGTTGTAGTTGCACACAACACCTTTATTTATATGTGGTGCTGAGGATCGAACCCAGGGCCTCGCACATGCTAGGTGAGCGCTCTACTGCTGAGCCACAACCCCAGCCCCTTAACAGTCATTTTAGACAACATAATTAAATATATCTCATTCTAACAGCTTTTAGATTCATGGTTTTAATATATTGCCACTGCATCTGCTGAGTTCCAGAATGACGCATAGCTCAAGTTTAGCATATGATAAGAAAGAGGCTGTTAAAATGTCTGGAATGCAGTTACTCACCCTTATCATCAGTACTGCTTTCCTGATATCCCGGATACCATCATAAACCAGGCGAGAGGCATCGATAAACTCATTCTCATCCATGGGCTGAGCAGGGTCTGAGCTGAGGGCTTCTACAGCTGCTTCCACTTGCTCTGTGAAACGAGGCATGACTGAAGAGAAAAAAACAGGGCAGGTTGCACTAGTGAGGAGACAGCATCCTACCAACCTTCCCTGAATCCTCAAGTCAGAAAAGTCAAGGCTCATAAGGAAACTGTACTTCTCCCCATGTGAACAGTATTTATTGGTGAGGTAAATTAAGTGCAGTATTTACAAAGACTCATATAATCATCTTTGTCTCTCAACAAACTGCAATACAGGGTTTGGATGCTTGGGAACTTGAAGTGTGAGACTAACTTGAGGCCGTGTTTAAGAATAGGGCATGGTGGTGCATGCCTGTAACCCTAGCAACTCAGGAGGTTGAGACGGCCTCAGTGTCCCAATACCAAGAAGATGGGGGGGGGGGGAAGGATGAGAAAAATAAAACCATTAATTTAGTATTTACTCATTAATGGGATACTTAACTCAGAAGTTCATCTTAAATAGTATGTTTGGGATTTGTTCCTTGTTTATCCATGATCACCCATGATATGTTCCTGTGAAGCCTGACTTCGGTGGACTAGCTTCCCACAAGTGTGGTGTACTACCCAGAACCTGTAAGACCAGAGCCAAGTTTCCACTTCCTTTTTCCTAACCACAGGGCCCAGGCTAACAGAATGATAGCCTGCCCTACCCAGGCCATGTGTGAAGCACTATGGAGGGAGAGTCCCCGCACCTGTGTTGGAGAGCAGCTTGGTGGCTTCCAGAACTTTCTCTGTGTAGACTCCTGGCTCATAGTTGTCCATCTCTGAGGTGACTACATGAATGACCCGGGCTGCCCGACCTCGAATTGCACCAGCTGTGCGGTCCAGACCATCCACATCTTTCTCTTGGAGAGCAATGACACATTTGTTCACATCTTCCAAAATGTGATTCTCTGAGGAACAAGCAAAAAGCTGAATGAGGAAGGGGGCCTTTCACTAGAAGACAATCATTATAACTTGGTATCTGTCATTTACTGATTGTGTGCTTGGTGCCAACCACAATGTCAAACACTTTGTGCACCACTTCACTGAAGGTACCTGATCAACTGTTCCACAGAAACTTAACCTGTGGTCACTACCAGAATAACACTCTTCATTCCAGGTTTTTAAAGGAGAAATGCCCATCTTTTAGGCACCATTATTTTATAAGCCATACAGAAAATTCTTATCACAGAAACTTTAAGAACTCCTCTTCCTTTACTAATTTCACTGACCACACATTCTGAAATCTCAATCAGAAGGACATGAGTTGACTGCTAGGCTTTATCCATCCAGTCTCCACTCTCCCTCCAGGAGATGCTACTCATATTCAGAAGCCATTATAGCCCTGAGAAAGAAGTGCTGGAAAGCAGGTTTAAGCTTCCTCTGGAGGAGGCTGATAGAGTGAAGTATTTAGGAACCCTCTCATGGTACACATAATTTCTTCTCATCTCAAGGTGAGACAGAACCAAGTGGAACCTAACAAAGAATAGAGCCACTGCATTGCAAGTCTACAGGCTGCACAATGCCCCGTGGGTCACGAGAACCTTCCTATCACAATTTCCCATAAGACTGCAGGAAGGATCTCTGTTATGAGCCTGCAAGTATGATGGAGCAAGATGAAAATCACAATGAGAAATAACCAATGATGTGAAAGAACTGTTGGTTTAAAAAAAAAAAAAAAAAACAATAACACAACAACAACAAGTCAGAATTCTTACAGAAGGGAAAGATAGATTACCACAATACAGTTCATACCATATTTTAGCCTCTTAAAAAATCATGACAGATAGAAAGATGGTGAGTTAGAAGAAGGGTACAATCCCCAGCAGTTCATCAGCTCATGATTTAAACAGTGGTAATACCACTTTAGTGAGGTAGGTGACTAAGGGAATTCACTGAAATTCAACACTGGACAGTAACAAAATCAGACAGGGAAAGCATGGTGAATAACATTGGCTTGGGGGAACTTGTAGAATAGAGAAGCAGGCTGATCTTAACCAAACCCAGAGACAATGGGTGAGTGAAAAACAACCAAAATCACTTGGCTAATGGGTGGAGAGTCTGGTGGGAACCATTTTTAAGTGGCCACATAGCAGTGAGCAGAGGTGGGAGATTAGGAACTCATAAAAAGATGTTGCCAGCTTGACCCAGCAGTTGCCCATTGTGGGATTCAGAGGGTACCTGGACCAGCATCATTGAAACAGGCACAATGAGAATTTTGTGTAAGGCAATTCAGGCTGGGATACTGAGGAGACCAAGTCTCTTTGGTTATTGGTGCCCAATGCAAGTAAGTACCTGGAAAGATGCCAGTAACCAGTCAGCTCTGCATTCCAGGTCTGATCCTGGATAATTCACATCCATGGCAGTGAATATGTCAGGCCTTGGGAGGTTCTGACTCCTCACCCTGAAAGTAGAATTTCAGGAGGCCACAGGTGCCCAGCAGAGATTGGCATCTGCCCAGCAACAGGGTATGCGGTGAAATCTCAGATACTCAAAAAGAGTTCCAAAGGTTAGCCAAGATTATACCCACCTTCTAATTTATACCTCTGTACTAGCGAGCCCCACTATGGAATTTGTCAGCAGTCCCATGTTTATCCCATCCTACACTGAGACAGGAAGCTGAGAATTACTAAAACTAACTTTGGCTCCTGGCCATTCACAGCTGGCAGCTTGATGAGAAACAAAAAAGAAGGGGGACTTAACAACCCCCAGTCCTTGACATAAGGGTCACAGATCCCCAAAACTGAAAAATACACAACAGTATAAATAATGAACATCCATTCCTGCCAAGTTTAAACCACTGCAGTGGAAAAAAACCCCTTTATTTCTCATTAATTTTTTTTCCTTATTTCCCCTATTTTTCCTTTTTTTAATTTTTTTTTTTTTACTTTTTTCCAATCTATATGATTGTGTGTTCCTGCTGTGCTGATTATATATGTATGTGTGTATAAAATTTTTCTTTCATCTTAACTGCTTTCTTCATTTATTATTTAGCTTTAGAATAAGGCTTTAGTTGGGGATAAAATTTTACATGGGTATGATTTGTTTTGATCTTATTTTTGATTGCAAGTTTTCTTCACTCTCTTCCCCCACTTATAGCCAAACTGTTCAGTTCCCTCTTCCTCTGCTTTATTACTTTTAGTTATGTTCTACTCCTCCTTTATATCTGTCATATGCTACCTGCTTTTCCTCTGTTCACTTTTAAATATATCCAAAATTTCTCTTGCCATCCTACTCTATTTTTCTCTTAAGAAACTGTATCCCACTAGCTGATAGAATTTCACAGTTTATGTAATTCCTACCCCATTCGTGTTTTTGTGGTTATTAATACAGTGGATGAGGTAGTAGACATCTGCTGTTTAATGTCTGATCTAGTTCATGGTTACTTATTATTGGTGCTGATGTTAAATGCTGACCCCACCATTCCTCTACAGGTGCTAATTCATGTTATAGATGTCAAAGTAGACACAGGACATTTATTTTAAGGCTTAACAATGATTGCTAACATTAATGCTATAACTTGCTCCCCCTTTCTCTAAGAGGGGCTGGGAAGTGATTAGGATACTTCGAGTTCACAGAGTGGAGATCCTGCTGCTGAGCAACACTCAACAAATCAACCACAAAACAGCAAACCTCACTCGATATATGAGCTAGCCCTGCTAGAGCCTCAACACTATCTCAACACAGAGAATAAGGGAGACAATAAAAGCAATGACCAGGCCCCAAATAGGAACTACTAGAGAGAGACCTCAGGTTCTACTCCTGGATATCAACTCATTTGTTAATAGAACAAAACAACCACCACCACCAAAAACAAAACAAAACAAAAAACTACATACCAAAGAACAAATGCATAAAAAGAAAGAGGAAATTATCTCAACTGATACACAAGTCATGAAGAAACAGGCAAACATCTCCCCAAAATTCACAATCCCCCAAAGGAACTGATATATATGGAAGTGAAGGAAATCCCAGAGACAGGCTATAAAATGATAAAATAAAAAGATCTAGGGAACAAGTTAAGAGCAAGTACAGGAGGTGAAAGCACATTTCAATAAGGAAATGGAGATACTGAAAAGAAACCAATCAAAATCCTGGAAATGGTAGAGACACATGAATTAAATTATCACTTGGAAGTGTCACTAAACAGATTAGGCTGTCTAGAAGACAACTTCAGATCTTCAACATAGGATATAAGAATATAAAAATATACAACTGGGAAAATTCAATGTAACAAACCTGAAATTCACTGGGACAGAAGAGAACATGTAGATACAGGCTAATGATATTGAGAACCTCTTAGTGAACTAGCTGCAGAAAATTTTCCTAACTTCAGAAATGAGATAGACATCCACATATAAGATGCTTATAACAGAACCTCAAAAAGACAAGATCAAAAAAGAACCTCTCCAAGACACATCATAATCAAAATGCCTAACAGAGAATAAAAATATTAAAAGCTAGAAGAAAAAAAGTCAGGTCATATTTAAAGGCAAACCAATGAGGCTCACTTCTGACTTCTCAATTCAGACCCTAGAATCAAGGAGGGCTTAGAATGAGATATTTCAAGCTCCACAAGAAAACAACTGCCATCCAAGATCCCTACATCCAAGCAAAGCTATCTTTCAAATTTCATGCAGAAATAAAAACTTTCCACGACAAAGATATACTACATGCAGAACTCAAAAATCAACCCCAGAGCTCCCACATAGATGATGTTCACTAAAAGAGAAACTAACTAAATGAAAATAAAGACTGAATTAAATGTGGCAAACAAACCAAAATGGCATAAAATAACAAACAACTATCTATAAAAACACTGAATGTAAATGGTCTCAACTCCCCAGTTAAAAGGGCTGAATGGATTAAAAAATAAGACCCAACTATATGCTATTTACAAGAGGCAAAGATATACACAGACAGAATGTAAAAGAATGGGGGAGGGATTCCAAGCAAATTGAGTCTGAAAACAAGCAGGATTAGCTATTCTCTCTCATATCTAACAGAGCAGATTTTAAGCAAAAATTAATCAGAAGACAGAAAGAAAGTCACCACTATTGATAAAGGGAACACTCCAACCAGAAGATTTAAGGGTAGTAAGCATGTATGCCCCAAATGTTAGTGCACCTAATTATGTAAACAAATGAACAAAAACTTCTTGCTAGTAAATCCCAGAGAGACCCCAATACAATAATACTGTGAGATTTCAACAGTCCTTTCACCAATGGACAGGTCATCTAAACAAAATCAAATTTCTGACCTAAATGATACTATAAATTAAATGGATCTACAGATATCTACAGACTATTTCACCTGAAAACAGCTGAATTCACTTTCTTCTCAGCAGCTCATGGAACCTTTTCCAAAATAGAACATATGCTTGATCAAAATGTAAGTCTTAACAAAACAAAACAAAACAAAAAACCGATATAATCTAGCACATTCTATCAGATCATAATGGAATGAAAAATCAACAATAAGAAAAATTATAGAAACCACATAAACATATGGAGATTAAATAATACTCTTAAATGAGGAACGGCTCATAGAAGAAATAAAAGAATTCTTGGAAATGACAACAGAAATACAAAATAACAAAATCTCTGGAACACCATGAAGGCAGTGTTAAGAAAAAAGTGTATAGCATTGAGTGCCTATGTTAAAAAAAAAAAAAATAGAAAAGATCTCAAATAAATAACCTAATGCTATACCTCAAGGTTTTAAAAAGGAATAACAAACTAATGGCAAAATCAGTAGAAGACAGAAAATAATTAAGATCAGAGCCAAAATTAATGAAACTGAGAAGGAAAAAAATACAAAAGATTAATGTAATAAAGAGTTGGTTCTTTGAAAAGATAAGCAAGATTGATAAACCCTAACTAACCAAATGAAATACCCAAATTAACAAAAC